TGTTGTCTCTTTGCTTAACCTTGAAAAGGTCCAATTTTCTGGTTTCAACCTTCATGGCCCTGGCATGAGCCTTCACGACAGCATCTGCGAGCATAGAAAATGAGTCAATGGAATTTGGGGGCAAGTTGTGGTACCATATCATTGCTCCTTTGGACAAAGTTTCCCCGAACCTCTTTAGTAACACTGACTCGATTTCATCATCTTCCAAGTCGTTTCCTTTGAACGCGCATGTATAGGAGGTCACGTGCTCATTCCAGTCCGTGGTTCTGTTATATTTTGGAATGTCGGGCATACAAAATTTCTTAGGGATTGGTTTTGGTGCCGCGATCCAAGGAAAAGGCTTCTGGATAAACTTCTTGGAATCCGGCCCCTTCAATATCGGGGGTGCTCCTGGAATTTGGTCGACCCTGGAATTGTATGTTTCCACCTTCTTGTCGTTGGCCTCAATTTTCTTTTCACCTGATTCCACCAGCTTCATTAATGTTTCAAGCATTTTCATTACTTCAGGACTGACTCCGGGCTCGGCTTCACCTGACCTCTCGGTGGTTTATTCGTTTCTTCGGGTGTTCTCCCGGGACCGTTCGGACTCGACCCTGCCAGGCGCGTGGCCTTGATAGTGTAGCTGCGCTATCGCCGCCTGTTGAGCCTGCAATATTTTGAAGATTAGCGCAGGCTTACCCATCACCTTCGCCCTCGGGCGTTTCTCGAACTGTTTGTCAGGGACCTCTACGAACGCTATTTTCGAGGTCAGTTGATAGGTTGACGTCAATAGCAACCTGTGAATTTGTGTCGATCAGATCGGCAACTGGGACTCCATTGGAATCAGTAAGGGGCACCTCATTGCTAGACACCAGATTGTTGTTTTCGCCATGGTGGCCAGACTCAGCCTCAATGTTCAAGTGATCAGACTGAGAATTTGACATTTTTAAGCAAACCTGAAATTGAGGCCTTTAAGAACACGTGCAAAATAGAGTGTGTTATGGAGATTTGTATTAAACCACCACTATTATCCTTAGCCCCACGGTGGGCGCCAAACTGTTTACCCTTAATACGGATAACAATTGAATTTATACGCGATTTTAAGGATATTTAGATTGATTCAACCCAAATAATCAAGAATGTTAGATAAACAAGTTAAATATAGAATGAATAGCCAAACCAATTGTGATGTTACAGATGAGCTTTGAGCTGAACAGTAATTTTGCCCTCGATCGGATCCTTGGTTCGAAGCCAAATGTATATAAAGAACAACAATAAAATAAGAACTTTTCAATAGCTAGAAAGTAGAAAAATGAATTTGTATTGCCTTGGTTTGCGTGTTACAATGTGTGTTATCAAAGAAAAAACTTCTCCTTTATATAGTAGGAGAGTTTCACTCCTAGTACAAGTCTAGAAAGGTAAAAATTCTCCTCTCTCGTTAATTATTGATCTGTAACCGCCATCGAACGAGATCCGCGCCGTGATATCCGGTTGGTTCCGGATATCACGGCCCTATATCTGTTGCCTACAACCGTTCATGTGTTTTCCGAAGTCTCAGAACTCATCCCGGGTCCGGGGTGTACAAGAAGTTCCGAGCTTCAATTTCGATCAAATATATTCATACCCTTGCTTCGTCTGACCCACTGAAAAATCGGGGTGTGTGTTAGCCCCGAATTCACCCGTTTACAAAATCTTTTCTTAATTAACTAAACTCCAACGGAAACGCACAGAAGCCACACATCACATGGTATGTTTTTGGCAATTTGGCATCAATAAATAGAAAATGTTCTCATGATGTAGCACCTGCCTGTTCTTCCCACTTAATCAACTCCATTAATTAATCTTAATAAAACCCTTAATATTTTACCAATTTTTTCAACCCATGCAAACATAGACTTGTCACGACTTAAGTATATTTTCTTGGTAGCTGCACAACCATGCGTTTGGAAATATCTCTGCGGAATTATTTTTAAACTTCTTCCCATCCTTATCCCCGTTTTCAATTCTAGAGTGTCCTTAATATATTGACACCACTACCACCTTTCAAATTATTGAACATTGAATGCAGTTATTCAATAAAGAGTCTAGCTGCTCAACATTAATTGAGGTGGAAACGTATTTATGGTTAAGATTCGACTGAAACTTTTGATCTTAAATGTTAGTACTATTATAAGACTGTCCAATAGTATACACTATAATTACTGAACCGGTCAAGTATGCATAAAAGTGCCACTCGTTCCTTTCAAATTGTAGATGATTCCTTTCTTATAGAAACTGTTAGCCGAAAAACATACTTCCTACGTTCACTTTCACTTGTTTATTATATTAAAAATATATTTTTAATTTTACTTATTTACTATATTAAATTAAAAAAAAAAATTTATTTTCCTATTTTATCCTTATCATTAACTGCTTATTCCCCAAATTATTTCTCAAGACTTTTAAAATAATCTCATTATTATGAGTAAAATTGTAAAATACATACTTTATTTATTTTTTCTTAAATGGAGTACAAAGTCAAAAATAAACAACTAAAAATGAACGGAGGGAGTACACTATATTTATAGTTATTGTATTAAATCTAATTAGTTAATGAGGTGTTAAGATAATGTCGACATGCACCTGAAGATTTTGAATGCGGTATGTCTAGAAGAGTCCGAATAAATAGACAAATAAGCCTTGATCACCTGCGAGCTCCTGAATTATGAAACCCTTTTGGGCAATGGTATTTGAATAATATGGGAAGCCTCACAATTTTGAAACCACTTAAAGTATAGTATTGCAAGTTGTATTATAACTTAGCGCAATATTGAGCTAGTGCATGCACATGCTTCTCAAAAACGATATCTCTTTTTAGAAAATGTAAATGTTGATTAGACTTCATTTTTTTTCTGTAAATAATTATCCATTTCAACANCTGAAGACCACAAAAAGCCCATCCAAACATATGGGGCAAGTGCACGTATAATCATTCTCAACGGTGATATTTAGGAATTAGCCATTACTTATTTTATCTAAAATTTTAAACTAAAAATCTTAACTTCAGGACAATTCAGGACATTTTTGTCCTGAAAAATTAAACTGAAAAGCTGAAATTCAAGTTGCACTGCCTAATTCCTAAATAGCATCCCTTTAGAGTGGCTACCTGGTGTCATTTCTACACAATATGGGAGCGAAAAGTCCGTCCAACAAAGCAAACAGAATTGAAGTGAAATAGCATGGGCTAGCCAGTGTTTGCAAAGTCATTGAAAAATAGTCACTATTTTGCTGCAATACGGACCGGTCCAGCATAATATACTGGAGATTGGTGCACCTGTGAATGAACTTCCAGCATATTATGCTAGAACTCCAACACGTGGAAAGTTCCAGCATAATATACTGGAGATTGGAGCACCCGTGTATGAACTTCCAACATATTATGCTGGACCGGTATATTATACTGGAACTCCAGTATATTATGCTGGAATATTTTTCGGATTTTGAATAGTATTTTCGTTCAAATTTATCTTTACATGAAAGTGGCTAAATTTCGTTTACTTCTGAAACTGTGGCTATTTTTCAATTATCACTTGTAAATCTGACTATTTTTGAATTTCTTCCGGAATTGAAACCCCTTCAGTATTACCTCATTAGTTTAAAATGATTTATGTTCTATGGACTGATGGCGTATAAAACTGTTTTTCCTCAATTTTATATTATATTATATTATTTCGATTTTGAGATTAAATAACTCTATTTTCTATTTAAGATTTTTTCAAACATGTTTTAAATACTTTAGCATAGAACGTTGTGATTCTATAAGTAGAAGCACTAGAAGGATGAAAAGGAAGAAAAAATTGATGCCGTCACGCTAGGCTAGGGTGGGAAAACTGAAATTTAATTGGTCTTGAATAAACGGGTGTGATAAGATGCGTGAAACTTTTTGACCCTAAATCATGAGTCTCAAGATTCTGTCTCCAAAATAAAAAATAAAAAGTGTTTTTTATCTCTAAGTTGGCTAATTTGAAGCGAATTCCAGTTATTTTACAGTAGGTTTCTCATATTAAATGCTTAATGAGTTTAACTAAGAGAAAGGAAGGATGGAAGAAAAAGAGAAGAAGCAGAGACTATTCTTAATTACGACCAAGTGCCGGGTGAATGTTAGTAGTATGGAATTTGGGTTGACATATCTGGGGAATTTGACATTAGTATTAGTAGCAAAGAAAAACTTAAGAAAGTAAAAATCAGCCACCAGAAGCTTTTCACGTGTTTGAACGTTGAAAAGATTTTAGTCCCTTTTGAATATCCTCTCCTTTTTTGATTTATCCATCCCCTGACTCTCACCCCAACTGCGTGTAAGCCCATTCCTCCTCGATTCTTTTCCTTTCTTTTTCTTTTTGACAATTTTTTGTGTCCCCTTTTATTAGGGGTGGATTGGTTGATGATTTGTTAATCCAATATAAAATATTTAGCTTAATATATAATGTGTAAAATACTCCGCCCCATAAGCAATGTATTATTTCGTTAGACGGTTTAAATAATACTTACAATAAGTTATGCGGGAATTTATATGGAGTACACCTATTTCTTTATGCGGAATAAGATTGCAAGAGTAAGAATATACGTATTTTAAGTAGAAAAATATCATTTAATTTAAGTAATTCATGTATAATAATTTTCTCATTAGTAATCACTGTATAACAATTCATTTATTATCAATTCTCGTTTAAATTTCTGCATTATAATCTTCATATAACTACCATGTAAACACCCCCTTAGTGTTTTCTTGTCTAAGAGGGAACTCTTAATGTTAGTGAGCCATTTGGGAAAAGCCATTTAGCCTAAATGGATAATATCTATATCTTTTGGAATGGTTCAGCCTAACAAAATTAATAAGACAAACTAAACAAAGAAGAAAATGAAATGTCAATTGGATAATAAATATTTTAGCAGTAGAAAATTATTAGTACATGAAACAAGAGAGTTAAGCAACGGCCCCTTATAAATACAAAAAAATACCTCCACTTTAATCAAGACCAAAGATGCCTAGCGCCAATATTGCAGTAGCAAACTCACCAGCGCTATTGTCCCCATCACCAACACCCTCTTCAATCTCATTGCCATTGATCTTCTGTAATAAACATGTATCGCCACCACCTTTGCAATCACCGTTGGCTCTTCGATCGTCGAGCAGCTTCTCCAATAATTTTGAGGTTAAGAAGTCGGTGTGCTCTGCGTCATTTTCCACGTCCACTACTCCAACTATTTTGAAGAGGAAGAGGCCAACGAAGATTACGATACCAATTGTTTCTTTAAATTTTGAACCAGTGGCTCATGAGACGCCAAATAGGGATAGGTTGGAGAATGAAGTGGAAGTTGAAGGAGAAGGGTACTCTCTGTATTCCAAGAGAGGGAAAAGGGGTGCTCTGGAGGATCGTTATTCAGCTATCATCCATAATCCTCACAACCACTCTAAACAGGTAATTTCAAAGCATCTTTATCTTTATCTCGGGTTCAAGCTTGAAAATGAACAACTTATTGGTAGAAGAAGCATTAATTGGTCACAGATATCAACATATCTAAAGAAAAAAATTGTATGAAAAATATTCTTATGCTCTATATGATTGACCCTTTCTGCAGGCCTTGTTTGGTGTATTTGATGGGCATGGGGGAGTAAAAGCTGCGGATTTTGCAGCAAAGAATATGGGTAAAAACATTATGAATGAAGTGGCTTTAAGGAGTGAAGAAGGACTAGAAGAAGCAGTAAGGGAGGGTTATCTCACTACAGATGCAAATTTCCTAAAGCTAAATAATGCAAATGGAGGGAGTAGCTGTGTGACGGCATTGATACAGAATGGGAAGCTCGTTGTGTCAAACGCCGGTGACTGTCGAGCTGTTATGAGCAGAGGTGGATTGGCAGAGGCCCTCACAGTCGATCACCGCCCTTCTATGCAAGATGAGAGGGAAAGAATCGAGAGCTCGGTAAGCAGTTATCTCTAATTTGGGAATTTTGAATTGTAGAAATGTTATGTAGTACTTAAAATCACTTAAACAACTTATTGATTGTATTTAACTATGTGTTTTAAAATGCTTCTTATTTGTAGGGTGGCTATGTAGATTGTTCTCGAGGCGCTTGGAGAATTCAGGGATCTCTTGCTGTTTCAAGAGGAATTGGAGATTCCCATCTTAAGAGATGGGTGATAGCTGAACCAGAGACAAAGATATTGATGATTGAACCAGAAAGTGAATTCTTGATATTGGCCTCTGATGGACTTTGGGACAAGGTATATACTTCAAACTTTGTGATCATGTTTTATAAGTATTGACTAATTGTGGAGAAAATGTCTTAAAAAGATTGAATACAAGATTGAAAATTGTTGGATATTCGGGATGCTAATTTGTCTTTGTATCTCTTGGCAGGTTAGTAATCAGGAGGCAGTGGAAGTAGTCCGGCCTTTGTGTATAGGTGTTGGTGACCCAAAACCATCCTCTGCTTGCAGAAAGCTTGTCGATTTGGCGTTAATGAGAGGGTCCTCAGATGATATTACCGCGATGGTGATTCAATTAGGTTATTTTGTTCAATGATTCAATGCTAGGGCGAAGATGCTTAGTTGACATGGTGTAGAAGATGTTATGTGACTTGATCTGAAGTTGAATTTCCTTTTGATTATAGAACATATTAAGTTTTTTACTTGGTAGAAGTAAAGTTAGGTGATAGTATACATGTCCTTCCCGTACAGTTTCTCATTCAAAAGGAATAGATGACCATCAACTGTTTTTGTAAATTTTGAACTCTATAACTTATGGAGTTGACAAGAGTGGGTTGATATAGTGGGGAACACCCTCCACTTCCAACCAAGAGGTTGTGAGTTCGAGTCACCCCAAGAGCAAGGTGGGGAGTTTTTGGAGGAAGGGAGCCGAGGGTCTATCGGAAACAGTCTCTCTACCCCAGGGTAGGGGTAAGCTCTGCGTACATACTACCCACCCCAAGCCCACTAATGAGATTATACTGGGTTGTTGTTGTTGTTGTTGTAGTATAACTTAAGGAGTTAACTTCCTTCTTCTCTGTGTTGGTACCATCATTTTCCCCTTCTTATAGTCACTTGTCAATTGTCATCTTTGCTGCTAGTTGTGTTATATAGAGCAATCTTTCAGGTGACATGCCTCTTATAGGACAACACTGTGGCATCCCTTTTTGACAAGGCAACCACTTTATTATACTTGGATTGAATCTGAGAAATTACAATGTATATTATGACCTCCTAAGATCAACTAGGCCTTTCTTTTATCATTAAGGTGATTGGTGAGTTTATTAAAGCTGGTTAGTCCAATTGGCGTGGGCGTTTTATCGATCTTATTGATCTAACAGTTACTCCTGTTACTAGCAATCCCAACTATCTCAGGCTCTGTCTCAAACCCAGCCAAGAGCACATCTAGTTGAAAGACTCGATTCTTATTTGTAATGGAAAAATCTTTCAATTCGAAAATTGAAGTGTAAGAGCTCTATCCATAAGTGATGAGCGCAAATTCTTTGTTATCTGCACTAGGAGAACCGAAAGGTACGGGCATCAGTTCATTCAGTTAATGAAGTTGCAGCAAGTTCCGATGATTATGCTATTTCAAGTGGATGTTCAGATGATTGAGTGATACTTCATGTGTCCGTATACAAGTTTTTCAAAGGTTTGGTAAGTATATGTTCTGAAGCTTTTCAAGTCTTTAATTCTGCCACCTGCATCCTTCACATGTTGACGATAAGAGCATTGCAATACTTCTATTCCATTCAAATAGCCATTTAATAATTGTCATCCCCAACTTTCCTGAAACCATATACCTCTGAAAATACAGCTACCTGCTAAGGACAAAAGTTAAATTATTGTGTTGCATTGCTTAATTTCTTGCAATGCTCTTGTTATTGTTGAACCGTGATTCTGTGGCTGTAATACAGAGTAATATTAGTCATTTCAACTCATCCACCGTCTGCTACAACTCAAAAGGCACACGCCACATAATTTTTATGACGGATTTATGAAGATAATGAGAATGCGTTGCCTAGAGCCATGGAAATAAAAACACAAATACGAATTTATGTATCACTAGCAATTACTTCAAAATGGTTATGGAAAAATGACACTGTATAGCCGCTCTCAAAATAATAGCCGAAAAAATTATATTTTTGTATATATATATATATTCTGTATGTTATATGTAAAAATTATACAAATTTTATACATTTTTTCGACTACCGAATGTAAATAGTTTCTAGCGAATTAAAAGTGATAATACCCCAATAATTATTGGACTAAATCTTATAATTTCAGGATCTGTCAGTCAAACTCACTTTAGACTTCTATTTAACTACATGAATAGAGATGAAGTATGGTTTTTGATTATATGCGTAACCATTGAAGCTCTAAGCATCCATAGCTTTTTGTTGCATACGACGCGTAAATTTCAAAAGGGCGTGTGCAAAGTTTTGAGTCTGAATTTGTGTGGCAATATAGTAATCTAATAGGTGAATGTTTAGTCTGGACGTTGGAAAAAATCAAAACAAAGTAAAACCAAGTTGGATTTGTAGAAGGAAATGCAATTGTCAGAAGTGGGATTTGAACCCACGCCCTCTCACGAGGACCAGAACTTGAGTCTGGCGCCTTAGACCACTCGGCCATCCTGACTTCAGGATACTAACTTGAAATTTAGAAGTTTTGTAATATTTATTGCAACCACCCGCTACTAAGGCAAAACATGAAAAGTGAACGCATTAAGACAGCCACTCTATATTCCATAGAAAGTTAGAAACCGTCAAACCGGCATAACGCTCTCAGACTTTACTCCC